TTTGACATCAGGTGGTGGTGTATCAGAGGCCAATTCAGGCTTAAAATAAAATATCCTTCCATCGTGTGTCATGCATGCCAACAAATGTTCATTCAATAAGTTGATATGCTTTCAAAAATGTTCCATAACCAAATACCCACAGACTTATCCTCTTGCTCTTATAATGTTCCAGAGATCCGTGATGACCCTCTTTTCCTTTTTCCTTCTATATACCCTTAACGATGTCATCAGTCTCATAGATTTAACTGACATCTCTAAAGTGATGACTTCCAAATAATATTGAAGCTCAAACATTTCTTCTGAATTCCAGACTCCTGTGTCCAAACTTTTATGAATCATTACCACTTATGTGCATAATAAAAATCTCAAAGTAAACATGTCACACACTGACCACCTCCAAACATTTACCCATGTACATCTTTCCAGTGTTCTTTGCATCAGTTAGTGGAAATTCCATCCTTATAATTATTCAGTCCTTAAATTTTCATAATCCATTACTCTTTACTTTCTCTTTCATCAATTACCCAACTACTCATCAGAAAATGCCACTGACCTATTTTACCGTAGTCTGATCCACCATATCTTGGCTCAGTTATTACATAGGCTTCCTAAATGGTCACTTTGCATTGGTCCTTTATTCCCTCCAGTCCTTTCTCCACACATCAGCCATATTGAACCTTAGAGAGAGTATGGCAAATAATGTTACTTCAAAGTCATATGATATGTCATGATAAAAGTATAGTGGCCTACAAAGTCCTACTGAATTTCACCCTTTGTTGCCTCCTTGACTTCCACTCTAGCACCTACTCAGATCAACCATATTGGCCTTGTAGTTGTTCCTGGTACCCATAAGACATTTTCCCCTTGCCCTTTGTATTTTCTTCAGTATTCTTTATCCAACCCTAAGGAAAATGCCTGAAACCCTAACAGGCATTGGTAAGATATTGAACATATTGAAAATATTGAATGAATTAATAAGTAATAAATTTATTCATGAATGACTATGTAGGTCATAGTGATAAAAAAAAAAGAGTATCCCCTTTCATTCGAGTGACAGACAAGTAAAGGCAAATTCCAACACCATGTTTAAGTGCTAGAGTAGGAATTAGGATTGTATGCTAAATGAAAAAAAAAAATAAAAAAGCAAGTAGCACCTCTTGTGGATAGGAAAGTGTTCTCAGGAGACATCATGCTTCAGGGAAGACCCAAAATTGACTAGGGAGTGTGCCAGTACAGAAAGCAGATTTAAGAGAGGTCTCTCTTCAGGGAAATCCCAGGCAAACATTAGGGCAGGAGTGAAGAATGTGAAGGGTGAAGCATTCACAAATGGATAAGTAAGTACCGGCTGGATTGTGAAAGGTCATGTCTACCATGGTAGGTAGAATATAGGGAGAGTGAACAGTATTGAGCGAGGGAGTAACATGATCATATCTTTTCTATGGAAGAGCTGATAGGGAGAATGGATTGACCATAGGCAAGAATCAAGTCAGCAACATTGGATAAGATTTTATTGTTACAATATAGACAAGAGTTAAAGAAGAACTAAACTGAAGCTCAGAGGAAGGCAACAGAAGACACAACTGGGCTGTGCTAACTAAATGCTAAATTACTAAATTACTGCTACATAAAGCTATAAGGATTTGAAAGGACAAACAAGCTCACAAACTGTGGCCTGCAGTACCACCTGGCATCTGTATTGCTTGGAATTTAGGAACAGCTGCTGCTAAGCATGGACAAATTCAATTTGACTAAACGCTTTGCAAAAAACACTATCAACCTCAAAGAACTGACTGCAGGCATCTAGAAAAGTATTATGTTTTACATACAGTACAGCTGTACTCATTGTGTTCATTCATTCACTCACAAATATTTATTGAGTAGCAACAAGTGATAGGTACCCTTCTAAGGACTGTGGATGTACCACCTACCACTGGTAAATTAAAATCCTTGCCTTGGTGGAGATTATATTCTAGTTAGGAGAATGAAATACACAGCTTGTCTGACCAGTTGTTTGATGATAATGGCTATGGAGAAATAAGGGAGGGAAAGAGATTAAGAAATGTGAGGGAAAGGGATGAAATCAGCTTAAACTGTAAAACAGGGGAGTGAATGACTACACTGATGAATCTTTGAGAAAGACTTGAAGGAGGTGAGGGTTGAAGGCTGGAAGCCACCTGGCTCTTACCTATTCAAGATGCTTCCACCTGAAACATGTAACTGCTTTGAGTGCATTTATGTGTTTTAATAGTGAAAGGTACATTTTTATCTGGCAAATGGGTCAATGCCATGGTTGAACTTGACCTGATCTCCCTTCAGGCACTTCCAGGTTCTTAAAGTCAGATCAAGTTCAGAGATTAAAAGCAGGTACTTTACTGGAGGTCACTGGGTCACTCCCTCGAGGTAACAAATGGGAGTAACACTCAGACACAGATGACAGATTCACAGCCCCATGTATAGACAACATCATCTGTGCTTTCAACTGGATGCTATCTCACTTTCAAATAAAAAAATAGTATGCTGAAGAGGTAGCTGCACTGTCACCTGCATTGCAGCACTATTCACAATAACCAGACAGTCAAACAGTGTTCACCAACAGCAGAAAATGTGGCATGTATACACAATGGAATACTATTCAACCTTTATAAAGAAGGAAATCCTATCATCTTCAGCAACATGGATAAACCTAGAGGATATTATGTTAAGTGAAATAAGCCAAAAAGAAAATTCACCATGATTTCATTTATATGTGGAGTGAAAAATTGAGCTTATAGAACTAGAGAGTAAAATGGTAGGTTACTAGAGGCTGCTTAAAGGATGAGAAGAGGGAGGTGTTGGCCAAATGAGAAAATATTTTTCATTACTTCCTTGATAAACATAATGTCTGCAAATAAATTTTAAGTGAAACAAAAATAGTATGCAATTATAACACAATCGCTTGTTTTTATCCAGATATAAGCAAGTTTGTGCCTCAGTCAAGTTTGTGCTTGAATCCTTGACATTCCAGGTAACCCTGAATAGAGGGAGAGGGAACACACACTGCTAAATAAAGATATATTTGTTTCTAGAAACAAAATTATTGGGGAAGACCCTTACTTGAGCCTTATAAATGGCACATTTATTTGAGTAACCTGTTAGAGGATTCCAACATGAATTCCACATACAAAAGATGCCTAACATCTCTGAGCCTCGGATTATTTATGACAGGGATAATTCCTACTGTCTATATCTAAATTTGTTAGTGAGAAAGTTTACCTACGGGGAAGTACCTTATAACTATAAAACATCCTACAAATGCAAAGTTGTTATTAATGACGAAACCAGTCTTTTAGTGTTTCAAATCTCTTGAAATCAACTCCCAGTGCTTGCATCTTCCAACTACAGGACCTCCTGACCAAAACTCTAACATTAAACTACAGTGCCCCCTAGCCCATGTAGGAGGTCAAGGCAGCTGATGAGCTCCATGAATAAGTTCTACCACATATGGTTCTTGTGCCTGAGGGAAGGGCCATTAACTGTACTTCTGGATGGTTTCCATCTGTCCGACAGTAAAAAATGTATTTTCTTCAGTATTTCCTATACATTGTTTTTATTTTTAATTTAAAAAAAGAACAAACCAATAAAAGCCCTTTATTTAAACTTTCTTCCTCCAAATTGCTTTAAATGAAGGGTGTTTCTAAAAGAACAACCTAGATTTATCTGAAAATTCACTGGGAATCTGATTGCTTGATTGACTATTCACCAAATTCTTTATAATCCAGTGTGGGAGAAAGTATCTGTCATATTACTGTTCTCAAAAAGGGGAAATAAAGACTTAAGCTTTTTTCTTTTGCAAGCTTGAACAGAAAGCTGCTATTATGAGCTTCAGCCCCCTAGTTTCACCACACATTGAAGCCACCATCAGATACAGAATTGTGTAAGGAAACACCACTGAATATTTTAATTGAAATACAGAACTGTTTGCTACCATGGTTTATAAAAGCCCAGATTAACAATATGCCAATTGCTTTATTTTAGAGGCAATCATACTTTATTTATCTCCAACTCTTAATTTCATAGAGTTTTAATAGAAAAATTGCAATTTAAAGAGTCCAATAAGTAAATTGGGTCCCCTGGTGATGGAGTCCTTAAGAAATGGAAGTTGCTCTGCGGGTTTATTTTCCACGCTGAACACTTAAATTTTAATCACCCAGCTTTCAGGGATTTCTTTCCAACATCCTTTTCTATGCAAGATAAGGACTGCAATTCATTATACAGTTGGAGGAGCCAGAGACTTTGCAAAGCTTTGCCTTCCTTAACTGTTCATCTCAAATTTAGTGTGTGTGTGTGTGTGTGTGTGTGTGTGTGTGTGTGTGTGTATACTATATTGGTGAATAATCTTGCATTGTGATATGACTTTGATTGCCTTTCAAGCTAAATGTCTCTCCTCTTTAGGGGGTCAAACATCATTTGAGCCCCTCCCTTTCTACTAAGGAAGCAAATAGGATGCTTGAAACTGGGAGGTGACTTTTATCACGTTACTTTTCTTTACATCTTTCTGTCAACCTAACTCAGGAAACAGTCCAGGAATAAAAATTCCTCTTCAGCAGCTACTGACTTTCTGTGACAGAATCACTTCTAGGTCAACACCTCTATTACCCTAGTAACAGTCCCTGATTTCCTCTTTTAATCCTTTTAAGAATAAACATCATAAACAATAACAACAAACCCTCAGGCTCAGAGCAGAGAATGCCAGCGCACAGCAGTGTCCTCCCTCTCCCCACTGCCTTTCCAACTTGGGAAGGGAGGCTGAATTTTGGCGAGGATGATGACATTCCCAGGATCTGGCAAGATGAAAGTGTGTCTAATTACACGTTAATGGCAGAATTCGTCTCAATCAGGTCCCCTTCCTCACACTGGTGAATTTCTCCCGAGTGGCTGCGGGGTGAATGGGAGACCCCTCTCTCTTTAAGAGAGCCTGGGCGCCCCTCACTCCTCCCCCTCCCAAGTCTCTGGGCTGGTCCAAGCTTCCTGAGAGCCATGGTTGGTTCAGGCAGGCAATCCGAGCACCTCATGGACTGGCTGCTAGCCGGGGGTGGGGGGAGGTGGGGTGAGGGGGTCTGTTTGTAGTACTCCCAGTCCTGATGTCACAGGCGCGGCAAGGACATCGCAAGGAGGAGTCGGATTACAGTAAGGATGGGCAGTGCAGCAGGCAGCCCGAGCGCACGCTCCAGCCGCCGGGGATCGTAGCGAGGAAGACAGGCGAGCTGCGCTGCAGCGCTCACCCCGCAGAGGAGGCGCGCGGGGCGCGGGGCGCGGGCTCTCCACGCCGGGGACCTTCCCACCGAGTGGAGCATGCAACGGCTGTGCTCTGTGTGGCAGCCTGGGGTACGAGCTGATGCTGAAGACGCCGCGGTGGGGGTTCCAGCGGTCTGATTAATGAGAAACATAATGTATTTTGGTAAGTGTTCACTTTGATGATGTAATTCTGGGGGTGCCCGACTCTTCATCAGCAAAGCCCTTAAAATATAATAATAATGATGATGATAATAATAATAATAAATAATCGGAAAGCTGCTGAGAATCTATTTCCTGAAGCCTACCGCCAGTTGGCAACTGGAGGAGCATGCCAGTGCAGCTCGGAAATCTTCCTCTATGCTACAATCAGGCTGTTAATTCGCTGTGGATGAGTTCAAGTTGGAAAAGAAAGGAGACAGGGTGGGGGTGGATAAACTTTGCCTTGATCTGTCAGTCTGCGTGAAGTTGGCTTTTTTAGATAGGAGCAATAGTGCGGCTTGGGAAGTCATGGGCTAACTTAATGGAATGCGTGACCAAGTTCCGACACTATTGATGCTGTGAACGCTTAGCAAATATGAACATTGCATTAAGCATTTGGTTTTTCCCTAATTCTGAGGCAGAAAAACAAAACATGCCCTAGCGAGCTGTAGTTGGTATGGAATACTCCTCCATACCATCACCATGCTGGGTGCATGCAGCCTTACACAAATGAAAATTATTTTAAACCTTCTGAGGTCTCACAGCTGTTAAATATTTGTGTGGATGAGTTGTGTGCCGCGATGGAAAGTCTTTTAGGTTTTTCAGGTGAGCCCCCTGCATTTCCAGAAAGCGTGTTAAAGCTCAGATCTGAGTTGAGCAGCCTTAGTGGACTCCAAACTGTACATTTGCACAGTAACGCTGCAACTTCTGATAGGAAAGAAGGCAAAAGCCCGTCCCTAAAGAGGAAGAAGCCAAGGATTGGGACTGAAAATCCTCTCCTCCTCCCTGAAGTTATGCTTTCTTTCTGTAAGTCCCATCCAGTGTCATCATTTAAGAGCATCTGTCTGATATTAAAAGGGTTGTGGGAGCAAGGGAAGAATGGTCAGGGGATGATTCTAAGGTACAAGTGCTCTGGGTGATTTCTGGGTTTGCTCTAGATGTTAGCTCTTGCATCTTCTTTCTGATTACAGAAGTATATAGATATACTTGGGCTGGACACTATTAGTTTGTTGGGCATTTATTTCCATGTGTACTATTTGCTTTGTTTTGTTTTTTTTGAGCCTTTGAAACGTTTGAGAAAGTATGGAAGAAGCCCAAGTTGCAAAAGCTAGATGCCTTTAGTTGTCTTGACAGCAGTTTTTATATCCCTATAATTTGTGTCATATTAGAAAAGAAATCTTAAAATAACCAAAATTGATTTGAAAGAAAGAATCCTCATTTCATAGCTGAATTTAAGCTGAATCCAGAGTTAAGCAACACCTCTTTCTTGGGAGTTGTGATGAAGAAGGTAAACTTGTTTATTGACAATTAATAGAACAGCATTTATCTCATATATATTTTTGATAAATGGGGATGCATATAATGATAATGTCTTTTTGGATAAAATTAAATTTCAGCATCTGTGATGATATTGAGGATGGTGAAGAAGATTACAATTTCAGTTTAAGTTTTCAGGCTCTTGCTAAATTCCTTCTGTGACTGGTGAGGAAGTAGGGATAACCAGAGAAGGAGTAGTCTAAAAGTATCGGCCAAAAGGTGTCCATGCTGTACTGGATTATTGTGTGGTGACTATGGAGTGTTCATTGGGCTAGATCATGTTAGTAACTGTATGCTAGTCCAGCTGTCTTGTAAAGCAGGGTGAGTCACAGGGTAATTGGTTTCATTGTGTAATGCAAGTTTTTAATAGTACAAACTGAAATGTGATGTCCTACTTATTTCAGATGAAACTATACTCTTTGAAATGTAAGGCTAAAGTTGCCCTCTGTGTCATGAACATGGTTCAGTCTCACCATAATTCTGGCACTAGAAATGTTTTTCTATTCTTGGAGGAAATCATGTGTATTCAGGAATGCCGTTTCTTTCAGGATGTGCTATGCAGCCCCTCACTCAAGCTGCTAAGACATCCCAGAACTCGGGAGGCCCAACTGTCTCCAATAAAATGCATGCTACAAGAGCTTAGGCAAAAAGAATTGAGCAGAACATTAAGGCATGTTAAAATGCAGTAGCATTCTAATGTTTGTAAACTTCTAAGACTATGTATGTATATGTGTGCATGCACACATATATATGGGTACCTGTATATGTATTATATATGTTGTGTATCTAAAATTTCAGTGATTTCACATAAGTTTTCAAAACAGTGATTTCACTTTGCAAATTATTTGGCCATTACTTCCTTCATTTTTCAATTCCAAATGGGTTATCAAGTCAGGGAGAATAGGTACAAAAGGAAAGCAGAGCTGCATTCTTGGGCTTTTCTGGTGATTTGTGGGAATGGGGTAGAGGTGTCAGAAATCTTTTATTTGTGATGAAGAGCATGATGATATTATGGTATGAGGTGACTTGATAAGAAAGTAGGATATTTATCTCCCTTATAAATAATCTGATTTGCCAGGTGTTGCCTTTTTCAAATGAATAGCTGAAAAAATGCTTGTCTGAACAGGCTGGCTCAGCCTAGCTGCTGCTCTGTAAGCCTCTTTCCGCTTAGGGTCTAGACAGGCACACCTGCCCTATCTCAGTTGGAGTCAGTTGTGTGTGTGCATGAGTTGGTGGAATATGTGATATTTCCAGTTCTTAAGACCAGATCATGTTTTGAGTGTGCTGTCTCAGACTTACAAGACTAATGAACCCTTGTGAGGACTTAAGCCCCACTCTTATCTTCTGTAGAGATTTTATTGCAGTGTTTTCAATAATTGTTCATTTGCACTTGCTGCTCAGTGATTTAAGAGTTTGCTGTTTGGTCACCGTGGATACTTTTGTTTCTTATTCCATCAATCTTACATTCATTACTTGGAGTTAAATATAAGGTTCACAGGAGAGAGAGAAGCCAAGGAAATCCCAAAAAAAAACCTGAGTGGGGTATTCTATACAAGACAGGACAAACAATACTTATGAAGTTACCCTCCCTCCCCCCATAAATATTTTACAGAGTTAAAAATTACATATGCCAAGGATGAATAGCCATTAATAATTTATCCAGAAATACAAGCAAGGCATCTGGGAGGCTTTTCTCCAGATTCAGGAAGTGAGGCTATAGGTGGTTGTCAGTACAACAGACAGCGCTCCAGGTTTCAGTTGGATTCAGAGGAATGTGTTGGTATGAAGGGCAAGTTTTTTGTTTGAACACAGCACTGTAGTTGCTCAGTGCCTGGAAAAAGGCTGTAACGGTGCACCACCTACAGCTCTGGGCACTGCAAGTCAGCTTCATCTCCACTTCCCTTGCAGCCCGACATCTTTCTCTGCTGCTGAAGTAGGGAGTTGTGGGTAGCCCTCATGCTGACCACAAAAATTGCTCATAGTTGTCTAGAGAGATTCTATGCTTCACCCTTTGTCACCAGGGGCAAAAACAGGAGATTGATACTACCTAGGAAATGCGTGTGACCAAAAATCAGTACGTTTTCAGGCCCAAGATACCCAGATGGACTATGGTGAGGTTGTATCCAAGAAGTGGCTGGGGCTTACCTCAGGAGAATTCTCCTGAAAAGTGAAGTTGATACACCTTAAACAAAAGAACAGAACTGAAAGACAAATATTAGTGCTCTCTGTAAATGTTGCTATTAATAGCATAGTAATTAAGCCTAGAGAAAAGGGCAGATAGAAAGTGTGAATGAGTCATTCAAGTTCAAGTTGGTGTTAACTGTGGATCTCCTGTCTCTTTTCAAATGCTTAAGAGAAGTAGGAAAAATACTTAGTGGAATGCCTATAATAATAAAAAATACCTAAGTCAAGAAAGCTTTTAACACGATAGCTAAGAAAATTCTAAACCAAAATCTTATTCCCCTGCTTATAATAGACACATTTGTATAGTCTTAGGAAGGACTTTTGTTTATCCCCAGGGATGTTTCAAACATTCTCAAGTCAGCATTTACCCTTTTGGCTGTAGCTGGACCATCAAGTTTCACCTCCAAAGCTGTATGTTAGAGAAACAGTTAAACAGCAAGGTTATGAGGAGGGAAATGAGCAGAAAACAGCAGGCGGCAGAGAAAAACATTCCTCTTTTTTGAGTGTGTTCAGTGGAAACATTTAACTTCTAATTACTTTCCAGTGAGTGATCTATTATGGGGAATTAGGTCTACTAGCATCTTTCTGTGCACTGTGTCTTTCTATCTTCCCTTCACCTGACAAGGAGGAGAAGGAACTTGTATGTTCAAATTCCTCTTTTTTTAAAAGTCTGGAGTCTTTATCACTATGGTTTATTACAAATGAATCTTAAGGACATGCAATAAGTTACTACATAACAAGGATGGAGACGTTGGCAGGTAAATACTGTCCTGGAGGGTAATACCAAGGAACCTGAAATCTAGGAGAACTTCACAACCATAGAACTTTCTCCCCTAAGACAGTTTGCTTTTACATTCACATTAAGTTCTTATTTTAAAAAGATCGAATTCCAAATTTGATCAATATACCCCAACATAGACTTCTTAATATAGCCTTAAAATTTAAACTAAATTAATTTCTTTTTCTTTCTCTCTTTCTTTTTTTTTTTTTGAAAGACCTCCTTAGTTGCTGTAATTATATGGAAATGAGATGAGTTTATTTAAGGGATAAGTTTCAAAATTCATGAGATAATGAGGACTTACAGAGTTGTCCTTTTGTGGGTGGTGTAACTGTTCCAAAAAAACAAATGAAAAATTTAAATTAGTGGTTTCTGACTTCCCTTGTGGAAGACATGGTCACAGCTGCTTTTGAGTGAAACCGCCTTTGCTAAGTGTGGTTGGTTAGTGTTTAACACTAAAATATCCAACAATAGCTTGCTATATAGATGCCCCAATATTATCCTCAAAACTTTTATCTATTTCTGAACCTTTTCACATCATTTGAACCACAACATTTAAGTATTGATTTAATAATACAGTATTTTTGAGAACAGCTGGCTTTCAAGTTTAACAACGGTTATATACATTATTAAGTTTTTAAAATCAAGTCATAAGGCTCAAAGCTTCTCTTGCTTAAGAAAGAATG